CAAAAACCTTCCTTCCTCCTCCCCAGAGCAGGACTCCAGAATCACACAAGAGCTGAAGCTGAGCTGTGCCTGCAGGTGTTTGAATGACAGTGTTTGAGGGGCAGAAAGTCAGTGCTATGGGCCCATTCCCATCTGAAATATGCTCTATTCATCTATAGATAAGTGCAGGATAAAATCAGTAGCAGAAAGCGAAGCTCCTCTGGAGACACTTTGCTTCACGGCACTTTTATATATTGCACAGGCCATGAAGAGAATGGAGGTGGATTTCCCATGAGTCCAAGTCAAACATGCATGCACTGGCATTGCAAATAGGAGCAGGGTGCTTCTTCTCATACTGGGGATCAGAGAACTATCTCCACAGTTACACCTTCTCTAGACCTTTTCTACACCTTCTTTTCCCCTCTTTTAAAGGGTGCCCGTTCACTGCCAACATTGACTCAGCCGGCCTCCCTAGTTGCATCTCTAAGCCTAACCCCAACTTTAAACAGTTAAGACAGTACCAATTAAAAAGTTTCAAAGGGTATTTTTCAGAGACCAACCTAGAAAAGTTTAAAACAGCAGTTCCCACAGACTTAGCTCTGGATTTCAGAGTGCAATCTTAGCCAAGAACTTTTGAATGGAAACAATGGAAAACAGAGAAGAACTTTATCCAAAGTCAGATGCACCCAATTCTGATTTGAGCATTCAGGAATTTGTGCTTGAGTAGAAAATGCTGTTCACGAAAAGAGCTGAACTGTATACTGTAAGGGCAGAACATGTATCCTGAATTCATGTTCACCTTGTAACCTGGAGAAGTGCTCAGGGGATGTCTACTGGCTGGAACGGAAGGGTTGTGGGGGCTGCTCTCAGACTATAGCTCATTCACGTATTTTCCATTCTAAAACCTCACCGCCAAAATCTCCCAGGTGGTAGTCAACAGTCTGGAAGAGGAGGAGAACCAGTGGGTAGCTCCTCCCCCACTTTCCTTAATATCCTCCCCTGCAAATTCTGTTTGCACCCAGATTATTGTTTCCCAGAACTCCAGATATTGCTCAGGAATCATGTACCTCCACCCTCCTTTCTTTGCTTTGCCAGCATGTAGATTCTGCATGGACATCTTGTTCATCTCTTGCAGTCAAGGTCCAACCTTCCTTCCATTTAAAGTATCTGCATGCAAATTTTCTCTTCACTGGTTGTCCTGTCAAGAACCAAACATCCCTGAAGAGGCGGAGAGCCTTTTTTGGGATGACCAATGGGCATGCATGGATTTACATGTCAGGTCCTTCCTATGTTTCGGTGAATTTAAGAGGGCAGCAGCAGGAGGAAAGCATGTCCAGGTAGATGACTCTTCATTTGCAAACTGCAAAATCTATAGGCAACTCACCATGTCATCCCAGGCACTGTTCCTGCTTGTGCTTCTCAGTTACTGCTCAGGTAAGACCAGGCAAGGGCTCCATACCTCTTGTCATCAGCTTTGTTTGTATCACAGAAGCACGATAAGCTTGGCAACATAAGTTGATGAATTCATGTCTTTCTTTCTATTTTTGGAAAGGTGTGATGGCACAGCCGACACTGACTCAGCCGGCCTCCCAGGCTGCATCTCCAGGAGAAACAGCCAAACTCTCCTGCACCATCAGCAGTAATCCGAGCACCATCGGCTGGGTTCAACAGAAAGCTGGGCAAGCCCCCCACTTTGTGCACTGTGATGGCTGCAGCAGCAGGGGCCCAGGGATCCCCAACCGGTTTACGGCTTCCCGCTCAGGCAATATGGGCTACTTAACCATCTCAAGCCTTCAGGCCGAGGATGAGGCTGATTATTACTGTTACATGTGGTACAGCAGTGGGAGAGTGTTCCACGATGGTTCAGTTGAATGGGGAACTGAGACAAAAACCTCATCTCTTCTCGAGGATATGCAGCCGTGTTTCTCTGCAAAGCTTAGCTTCACCTGTGTGTGAGTCTCCCAGGACATCGAACTTGAAGAAAAGAAGCAGACCCCTAGTCCCAGTCCCGTTTCCAAGGCAGGAAGGCCACCCACCCATGACCTTCCCCAAAATTGGCCTTTTTTGCTGCGCTAGTCAGCAAAGCCTTGCTCATTGCAGGTCTCTGAATTCCACCTGGAGTCTCTGAGTCTTTCATACTTTCCTCATTGGCTCGCAAGAACACATTTGGCTGTGTGCCCTTAGAAAACCACAGAATTCAGTACTGCTTGGGGGCAAGTTTTCAGGAAGCACCATTTGTGACTTTGAACAACGTAGAGTTCTAGTCTTGAAGACATCAGAATTTGATAATCTAACTGAATTGATATTCTACTAGATGTCAAAAATATATCCAAAGAACTAATGCAGGGAACCCAAAATGCAGTTTAAGTGCCACTGAGTAACAAAGGCCAAATCTGGCATTCTTCATCCTGCAGAATTCAGAACTGTCAATGATATGAGAGCCTAATTTATCCCTGGCTCAAATCATCATGGCCATAAATTCCCCCACTAGCGAAATAACTTCATCCTTCTATGAGTCACGTTCCTTCTCCTGAACAGTTTTGCAGAATCTGTCACAGGATAACAAAAACCTTAGCAAAAAGCAACGGTTAAACGCTAAAGACCCTTATGTAAAAAGAGCCCCTCGTCCTCAAATTTGCATCAATGCCAGTGAGGTTATTGTTTTATTTGTGGTAGAGCCAAAGAGGGGGGAAACTGCATCCGTGCTCTGGTTTTTGGTGGAACTGTTGACCAGTGCTGAAACTGCTTTAAGTGGCCCTTAGTAGGTAGGTTTAAGAGTCTTGTTGGATCTCAACAAACTTCCTGCCTGCTTCAGATCCAATGAACAGAAGTGAGATGAGGAGATCTTTTCCTGCAACCTTCTGCTTTTAAGATGTGCTACAATTTGTACATCTAAAAAAAAAAACCTTTTCCGAAAAAAATTTGCACAAATCACACCAATTGTGCAATTTCTGTCCTTTACGCAAATTGCTCAAGTCATGGTGTTTGCTGCAAATTGTATCAGCATTTCATGCATGTTGTGCAAACCGGCCCCTGCATAATGCTCCCATTTGCAGGATAGCTGCATGCCTCACTGAGTCAGAGCTCTAAACAGGCCATTTGTGCAAATCAGCACCAGGAAAGCTTGTGGTCCTTATGCAGTTGGTGCAAACTGCCCAAATCAGCACCAGGAAAGCTTGTGCCCAAAGGACATGTTTTTGTTGGCAGCCTATTTGTTGAAACTGTATAAATTTGCAGGGGTTTCCTTAGTTCGCATTTGAGACAGGTATCCACTAGCTGGCTTGACTTGTACCATAATGAATTGGCAAACCAGAATCTGGGGATCCTATCAGATGCCTCAGATAGCCCTAGATGCAGGCCAGAACTCAGTTGGATTCCCTGTGCAGGCGTGTTAAACCAGCCTCTGAATAGATCCCTAATCAGCTGATCACCATAGCCCACGATCAAGCAAGCAGCATTTTGTATCTGGGTTTTCTCTTCACATGTTGCATAAACCTCATGCATCTTTCCCAAGAAGCTTAAGAGCTTTAGCCCCTAATGGAAAACATGAGGATTATTAGTAATGGAGACAAAATACACTATTTTATGCATTTATTATTTGATTTTTAGCCCATCTCATTAACCACACAGCTCCCTGGGTGGGTCACAGACAATAACAATGTGTGTGTGTGAGAGAGAGAGATTAAAAGTACAATACCAGACACTGAATAAAATAACAATAGAAAGTGTACCCTATTGTTTCTTAACAGAACCTCTGATTACATAAAAGGCATACCATTTTCTATATTTAAATACACACCATTGCAGCCAGAATAACCATCAAAATACCAGTGAAGTAAAAGGGTCTTCGCCTGGAGCCAAGAAGAATATAAAGAGGGGAGCTCATTCCAAAGTTGGGGTGCCACTCCCAAAAAAAGGAACATATATTGCTTTATCAGCATAAGGGAATAAGAACTCCTAGACTACATGTGCAAGTACATTGCCTGTTCTCCTCTTTCACCTCTCAGTACAAGTGCAGCTTCCTCCAGTAGCCTCTGAGATTATTTATTTCTACCAAATGAAAGAATCATGAGCTATTATTGCCCCTTAAAGGATAAAAACATAATAGCAAGCATTCCGTACTTGAATGCGAAATAGTAATAATATTGATGTACATCAAGATTTTGACTAAAGCAGATTTAGAGCTTGAACGCCGTCGTTATTTGTTTTTCGGCACCAGGCGAAGACCTTTTTATTCAAGCGGCATTTTAACTGTTAACATTATTGGTTTTATCTGGCCAGGGCGGCTTATTTTATATTGTACTGTTGTATTTTAATTTTATATTTATATTTTAATTTATATTATAATTATTTTAATTTATTGATGTGAGCCGCCCCGAGGCTTCGGCGAATGGGGCGGCATAAAAATGTTTTAATAAATAAAAATAAAATAAAAATCTTGAAGGAGGTTTCATGGCAGGACTCTAATTTTAGAGGTCCTCCCAAGTGAGGTTACAGTTCCAATTTCAAAAAACTTTAAAAAGGTGCCAAAACATTTCTCCATCTACTGCTATTATTACACATTTTGCATTTCATATCCTACCTTTTTTTCTTCTGTGAGAAACCAAGGGCAGCTTACAAAGTCCTCCTCTATGCCATTTTAACTTCCCAACAGTGACCCTGTGCGGTGGGTTAGGCTAAGAGCCACTGGCCCAAAGTCACCAGTAGGACTCAGCCAAGTGGAGATTGGAACCCCAATTTTCCAGGACCCCAATCTGACACTAAGCACCATATCACACTGGCTCTTAGTTCATGATTTTTCGTCAGAGTTGGGGTGTACTTTAATCCCATTTGCATTTTTATTCATTATCTCATGATAAGAACTTCACTTCTTGAAAATGGGAATAGAACTCTACAATTTCACCTGTTCTGTGCTGCCTTGTTTACAAATGCAATGTATACAAAGCAATATGAAGAGTAACAGAATTTAACTTGTATTTAACCTGCATTAAAATCCTTCTCTAATTTTAAAAATCAATAGAGATTGGCTTTGATTGCCAATCTAACAATACTGGATTTTTATGCTTGCAACCTACAGATTTTGCTCAGAAGAACTTTGCCAAGTCATCTGGATTCTCTGAATTTGTGGACCAGTTTTCCAACTTTGGAGGAATCTTTGCCGATTTGCATCAGCACTGATATGAAACTCTGGTTTAGAACATCTAATTCCATCAGTGAATGGAGAACGCAGTGAAAGACACTTGATACCCTACAAGCCAATAGATGGATTTATCAGCATCTCTGAATCAGTCATCAATGGTCCATGCTACTAACGTGTTTTTCCATTTTTCTTGAAAGGAGAGCTATGCTAAGTCAGAGCAAGTAATGCCCCAGTGAACATATTTTCAATCTGGTCGTCTTTTCATAGCTATTAACAAATTGCTATGGAATGGATGCACAGTTCAATCTCTTATAGAAAATTTAATATTTTCAGGTTATAACAGTTAGTCTTTCAATAATCAGAGTTCAAATTGAACATTTAAAGCAGAAGTTCACAAAATGAATGCAGAATGCCAAGAACTTGAATGGGCATTTAAAAAAAAATGAATTGTAAAAGGGTGAAAACCAAACTCATGTAGCTTTAGTTAAAAGCTAGGGGGAGATGTTGTCTCATTTTTCTCTGCATTTGGTAACATTTTTCTCTGAAGTTCCCAGAGACATCTTGAAAATTTGCACCTGTGCTGTGCAATGAAGCAGAAGAAAGCCAGTACACATGGTTACTTCTCTGGGACTTCCTGTCCACTCAGACTTAGAGATCTTGACTTTCTTGATAGCAATCCTCACATTCTTCAGGACGGTCCATGGTCCACAGTCTTCTTTTGAAGATGGATGTGCACATAATGGATTTCAAGTTTGAAATAACCAGTTGTCAAAGTGTACCCCAATCCAGAACTGAACCAAGAGCATGTGGGATTTTTGAATCAGTGTCTCAGTTGAAGAATTTGAACCCATGAAACTGTGGAAGAGAAAACCCTACCGTTAGTTTCAGTTACAGCCTTGCTCCACATACTTATGTTTACAAAGACAAGCTATGTTGTTATGTGCCTTCAAGTCATTTCTGACTTATGGCAACCCTCTGAATGAAAGCCCTCCAGAACGTCCTATCCATGGCATCCCTGATTAGTTGTTCTAAATTGCAGGCTGCAGCTCTCTTTATGGAGTCCACCCATCTCTTATTTGGTCTTTCATGAAGACAAGATGCATTAACTGATTCAAATTCTAAGACAGAATTAAAGCCAAATAGAGCTGAGTGATATCACTCCATTTTCCAATGAAAAGAAAACACTTTGTATGTCTGTCCGATCATCCATCTCTCCCCCTCTGGCCATGCCCACTCACTTCCTTCCCAAGGTGGAAGCAACTGTCACTCATGAGCTTCCATCTCCTTGTTCCATCTCCATGGTCTTCTACCCTCTTCTAGCCATGCCCACTCGTCTCTGCCACTTGGACTTTCAGACTCAACTCCAGGTGGACAGGATGCCATATCCAGGATCAGGAAAGAGCCACTAGGTTCTCTTGGCCTTATGAAGCTTCTGGGAATGGCTCTGTTGCTAGAGGAATTGTCCTCTCAGTTGACCCATGCCAATTTTTGCTCATTGTTATAAGTAAGGTGATTTTCAGCATTCTGATGGAGGAAGAGTTTTCTTCTCTCACCCTTTATAACTCTATTCATTTTCTTTCTTTGAATACAGTTCTTAACATGGTTTTGGACTATGTAGGTCTCTAACTGATTCACCCTAAGGGTGCAAGCATCCATATGATCTGGTATTTCTTCCTCATTGATAGATTCTGGGTTACTCTCTTCACACTTTCATTCTTCCTTCTCTGCTATCACTTCCATAAAAATAGCCTAAACTCAACTCAGATAACCAAATCTTTACACCTACAATTCCTTACAGGCTGAACTTTGAAGACCAACATTTGCTGATAATAATTATGAACAAAAACAAAACAAAAACCAATGTTAAGACAAAATCAGCTTTTTCGTAGAGAGTAATACAGTATATTATGCCAAGATGTCTTACTCAAATATATGTCGGTATTATATCCTTGGTAGCAAGGAGTTGTTCATAGGGTACAATCAGTGAATGGAAGCAGGCCAAGAAATTTACACTCCACCTTTTTCCCTGTAGTGAAATCTTGGGTGAGAACTGATGGTATGTAAGCATCACTCACCAAGCCAGTTCTTCTCTCCTTCATGTTCCCTTTGTACCTGCTGTTATCCTGCAAGTAATCCTTCCTAATGTTATATGTATTAACTTCTCTAACAATTTTTAAAGGCATGAAAGGTGTCCCACCTGTGATTTTCTCCATCTTCAACAAATGCAAGATATTCTGCCTTCATCACATTTAAAACTCACTATGCAAATGCCTTTTCCAGCACTCGGCCTGCCTAGAATCTCCGCTCTCATCAGGGAAGAGCGGATGCTTCAGAAAGCCAATAGGCATGAAGATATTTGCATGACTGATCTCTCTTTAATGCAAGATGAATTCGAGAAGGGAGGCAGAATTTCTGGCTTGGAAACCTCTTGCTTTACAGTTTTCAGCTCCTCCGAACACTCACCATGGCCTGGGTTCTGCTATGCCTTGCAATTCTCAGTTTCTGCCCAGGTAAGCACAGGAAGAGGGGACTTTGTACAGCCCAGAAACAACAACAATGGTCAAATGTGTACTTTCGTTGTGCAAGGAAATGCTTTTGTGACAGCTGAGAGCTCAAAAAATGTCTTGTTCGTGCTTTTTCATTTGCTCACAGGTGTCAGTTCCCAGCCAACATTGACTCAGCCAGCATCACAGTCAGTGTCCCTGGGACAAACGGTGAAACTCACCTGCACCATCAGCAGTAATCCGAACAACGTTGGCTGGTATCAGGAGAGATCCGGACAAGGCCCTCGCTATGTGCATGCTGATGGTTCCAGCAGGGGAGAGGGGATCCCGGACCGATTCACGGCTTCCCGCTCAGGCAGCACAGGCTATTTGACCATCACCAACGCACAGGCGGAAGACGAAGCTGTGTATTACTGTGGGATGCGGTACAGCAAGATGTTCCACAGTGGCACATTCTGATGGGGAACTGAGACAAAAACCTTCCTCCCTCCAGACTCTTATGTAATTCTGATCCCACAAGAGCCAAAGCTGATCTCTTCCTGACAGTGTTTGAGTGCAAGAGTTGGAAAGGATGGAATGCCCACCCAGTTCTAGTCATACCCCAAATAATAGGCTCCAATCCAAGAAACAACGGAAGGGTCAATACGGAGCATCTTGGTCTCCTTTCAAAGCTAAGGCCTCCAGCAAACAGAGTTAAATTTCATTCATTGAGGGAAAGCTTTGTTATAATTATTTAAACATAGGAGGCCAGACTATTGTTACCCAAAGAAAAGGTCCATGGGCCAAGGATTTTTATGCAGATTTTCTTGGTTTGCATAGCCTCAGGAAGGGTTTGGCTTTAAATTATCTGTACTTGATGAAAGTAGAAAGCCATTCTTATCTTGAATGAAATGCCTGTGAGGAGGAGAATAGCAGCCAGAACAAAGTTTTTTCTCATGCAGTATTTTTCTTGAGCATAGCACTTTCACCCGAGGTTAAAAATGACCCCAGATGTGACTGCTGCTGGGGTTATGTTTGTTTGTTTAACACAAGAGAGGATGCTACAGCAACTATGCTGGCAGAATATTGGAGTCTACCCCATTATAAAAGCTAACTGTTTGCTCTTTGATGATCCAATCATTGCTTAGCATCCATGCTCTGACTTTCCTTTGAAGTATGTGTGCTGCAGTTACAACTTCAAACACTAGAGGGCAATATCCTCCTAGAGCTGTACTGGGCTGAATCTACATCTGTGTGACATATTAACACCTGCGAAGCATCTCAGCCAATCAGGGCAGAAAGGAGGAAAAGTGCATAGAGAATGGAAGGGAATACGAAGCCTGAGATGTTTTATAGAAATCGTGCCTTAGTTTTAGGGCAGCTTCCTTCCATGCACTAGTTTGGTCTGGCACCTGCCGTGCCACGATGGTCATCTGTAACGAAACTCAGGGGCGTGTATGAAGATCAGTGAGCAATGGTGTTGGATAAGGTCCACCCTTTATTGCCAACAGGGCAGATGCAACAGACTAGATTTTGAGCAGCTGCGTTCTTTCAAGTGTTTTATGCAACAGGGGGCGAGATCTGGAAACCTGAGAACTTTCATAACGGCTTCTCCAAATAGTTCAGAGTGTTTTTGTTTGGGCGATGGGCAGCACGAGCTTCAGTGGAGCACATCAATATGTGGGCATGCGTTCATTTTGCTCTCGATATGGCACCTCCCGCAATTCAGTCCTGAGTGGCCATGAAAAATTGACCTGTGATGGATAATCTGTGACTCACTGCTGACTTACCAGTGCAAGTCATCTCTTGATATTGCATTTGTGAAGTGATGCCAAACCAGCCCTTAGAGATATTTCCTTGTTTTCTGATCACGTTCTTTTACACTGATTTTCAGCCTAGTGGGAGGGAAAAGCTTCCCAGAGGAGTTCACAAAGATTTGGGGCTTACAGTCTAAAAAAGCATGGCACAAAGCAAAAAGGAACTCGGGCTAAGTCATCCCCCCCCCCACCATGATGCTCATCCTGGGAAACTGGGAATGCAGCCTTCCCACTGCAGCTGGATCTCCAGCCAGAAGAATTTTCAGTCTCAAGGCAGCGCTAATTGGAGCAGGGGGTTGCTCTGGCAGGAGGGCTGGAGGAATCTCACTGCAGTGTCCTCTTGCAGGGTAATATCTGAGGCCTGGTTGGCTTCTCTCTCGCTGGGAGGTCCTTCTTGGGAGGTAGCTGTAATGACACAATCAGGTCATCATGTATTTTAAGGAGGTGACACTGCCTTAATTTATGGATTCATCTCAGTCTAGCAAATGAGGCAGGGGCCTATTTGCATAAAAGACCTGCTGGCATTTAAAACGAGATGGGAGGCATCACTTGGATTAACTGGAATGTTCCACCATGGTTTGGGCTTTGGCTCTGCTGTTTCTCACTTGCTGCTCAGGTGAAGCCTGGATGCCTCTCCCCTTCCTCTTTCTACTTCTACACCTAACCTTCTGCTTTTTTTATGCCATGCCTCTTTCCCCCCACAAGCAATGGATGAGTGACATTCATTCATGGGTAATTCAAATCAAAAACACACTCTTCTTCTCTCCTTTTCAGGGTCTTTCTCTCAGCTGACCCTAACTCAGCCACCGTCACTTTCAGCACCCCTGGAAGGTAGCGCTCGACTCTCCTGCAATCTTGTCGGCGCCTCCACCTTTGGAAGCTTCTCCTGGTTGCAGCAAAAAGAAGGAAAGGCCCCCAGATTCCTCCTGAGCTATTCCACCACCTCTGGCAACACCGAGTTTGGTCCAGAGGCCTCTGGTCATTTCTCTTCTTCCACTGATGCTGCTAAAAAAGTGGGCTACCTGAGCATCGCCAATGTGCAAGCAAAGGATGAAGCTGACTATTATTGTGTCATGGGAGTCAGTGGAGGTGCAAGGCACTGTGCTAAAGCAAGCTAAGGAACAGAAACAAAAACCGGTCTCTCTGAAGCTCCCGGTGCCTTCCTGTTTTAAGGGTGGGCAAAGTGCCTTGTGAGAGCAAGTAGCTTTTGGTTCTGCCTGTAACAAGCCATTTTGCCTGGGGTGATTCCTTAGTTAAATATTTCCTCTGAAGCTGTGCTGAGATGACTTCAGGCATCCCCTGAAGGAGGAGGCATCTCCAGTGCAGGTTTTCAGCATAAATGAAGTGAAATGCACCATTATTTTGATAAGAACAGAAGGGGAGCCATGAAGGATCAGGCTAGCATGGGTGTTGTGTTGGTGGTGCTTGTTATGACCCAGCAGGTTGTCTCCTCCAAAGTGTGCTGTCTTGACAGTCCTGCTCAGCTGTTGTACACTCAAGGCTGTGGCTGTTGTGAGGTGCAGCTCTCCTCCTGAGTAAACACACTACTCCCAAGTAGATTTTCCACAAGACTTTATTGTTCCTTCACTCTGAGTTCACCCAGGCTGAAGTGTTGAGACCGCTCTGACCCCTTCCAGTCTTCCTCCTGTTTATACACCTTTTGCCCGTGCATCCCCACAGGTGGAACACTAAGAAGCCCAGTCCTTATGCAATCCTCCCACTTCTCAGTTAACTGAATTTCCTGCATCACTTCCTCAAAGGGAGGGATCTCCGTGTCAGACAGACTGCTCAGCTCCTGCTGTGAGACCTATCTAATCCCTGTCTTCTCCTCCACTTGGTCCACTATAGGTAGACCAGGACTCTTGTCAGCCCCTGCTGTCTACATCACCTCCTGGTCTGCTATCTCTTTGTTCCATGGGCTGGCTGACCATCAGCCCCATTGCCCAGGACTGGCAACTCCTCTCCTTGTTCCCCAGACATTCCTTGACCCTGATCTGATATCGGAGCTTGTTGAGATTCCACAAACATCATCTTCAATGTCAGAGATTGCATTCCCATCAAAAACTATACATTGTTTGTGAGCACTCTGACATCTTGTCCCAGTACTTGCTCAGAACCTTGGATTCCTTGATGGAGTCAAGCTACAAACTGTGTTTGAATAATTGACTGGAAAGAATCTTCAAGGAACCTGGTGATGGGTCTGATCTGGGCCAAAACTGAGAAAATCTGGCATGGAAAGAGTCATCCACCCCAACCTGTAACTGGTGCAGGCCGATTTCCATTTATGCACAATTTCTGGATGCAGGCTGCTCTCCTCTGCAATTGTTCCATTATTTTGAAAAATGAGATGAGCATCCCATGGCCATGAGAACAAGGGCAGCACTGCATTGGATCCCATACTCTGACCACGCCTTCTGGGGTTGCAAAGGGCCCTGCCCATGCATCACATCACCTCAGCCTTCGGACCACTAAGTCTGTGAACCATTCAGGCTCCAAAACATTTCCTTTCCTGCACTGCCATAGCACCAGGGAGCTGGTCCTAGGAGTTTCCCTCCACTTAAAAGCACAGGTGCAAAAGCCATCTCAGCCTGAAGGGCAGATTCTATTTCTCTTGGGAACAAAACACTCTTAAGGATCGTAATTAAGCTTTAGGAAAGCATTTAACACTTTCAGAATGGGAGGTGAAGGTGCACCAAAACTGGCAAACGGCAGTTGCAACCTTTCTTCATAAGGGATTTGCTCCGACCAATTAATCATTCCAGGGGCCAAGGCCAAGGATTCTAAAGAGTCCCATCCTTACCAACACCTGAGTAGACACGGTGATGTGCTAAGGAGCACCACAGTGCTGGCCTTGCAGCCAATGAGGTCATTGGCATGGAAGGCGCCACCTTGAGCTCTGCATCTTTACTAAGCGAGCTGCTGCCAGAGAGGCAAGGCAGGCAAGCGCCTCTCGAGGGGCCCTGCACCATGGCATGGCCTCTGGTTTCGGTCACTCTCTGCCTTTGCTGCGCAGGTGACCTGATTGCGGTCTCGTCCTCCCATTCCCCTCTAGTTGTGGGCGCTCCCCTTGTGTTGGCTGGGGCTTTCCTGCCACTTTCTTACTGTATGTTTATCAAATGCTTTGCTCAATTAAAGCTCTGTCCCACAGACTCTCCATGCAGAGTGAGTGATGCTTTCCATGAGCTTTGTTCCATTTCCCTTTTTCTTTTCTTGGGATTGTCATCTGTCAGCGTTCCAAGCTGCCGCTCTTGATATACATATCACATCACTGCTCCTGATGAGGGCTGAAGCCCAAAGCATTGTCTCTAAATATAAATTTTAGCTTCTCCCACTGGTCATTTCTCTGTGTTCATGGATAGAGAGATGACTGCCCTGTTTTTCACAAGAGTTTTGGGCATCGGAAACGAGAAAGAAAGAAGCGAGTACAGAATTTACCAATGTAAAGTTCATTTCATAAAATTAACACTGTAAAATCACTTTATAATACTGCTACTGTACAGTGTCGATCATGGAAGCGTGAAAAAAATGTTCTTCTCTCAGCCCTATACAAACTAATGATGTCTCTGCCTTGAACACAGTGTGCCATTGGCAAAGCCTTTCCTGGCATTTCTGCAGAGATCTTGTTGCTGGAAACATGACTGCTGGCACTTGTCTTGCTATGCTGAGTTTCAACACAAGAGGGAAACATTTCCCTTTGCTGAAGTTCAGTTCATGAGGAACTGAACTTCATCCTCATCCACTT